CAACACGTTCCGAAAAAGTTGGGATGGTGGAACAAAAGGCTGGTAAAGTTGTGTAATGCTAAAAAAACCTTGGTGGTTGATTGACAACAGGTCAGTAACATGATTGGGTATAAAGAGCATCTCAGAGAGGCGGAGTCTTTCAGAAGTAGAGATGAGGAGGGGTTCACCACTCTGTGAAAGACTGCACCATCAAATAGTGCAACAATTCAAGAAGAACGTTTCTCGTATTCATGAGGTTTTCACACGATGTAAAGGCTGTTCAAATTCTAAAAAAATCATTAAAAATTGAGACACTTGTTTTTCTTTGGACTGGGACAATACATTAATGCCAAGTGAGAACAGTCAAAAATATTGCACCTTTCTCCCTTTATGTTTGCATATCTCTCTCTCTCTCTCTCTCTCTCTCTCCCTCTCATTCAAACTGTAATGCTCTCCACATGACCAAAGCTTTGCCAACTGTCCACACCAAAAGCTTTCCAGATGGTGTCAGATATTTGCTTTCCGTTTTTTGCTGCGTTGTGTTTCCTTCGGTATATCCCAGGTCGACAGACAAGCCAGCCAAGAATGTGGATTTATTTACATCTGTTTCACCGAGCAGTGGAGCAGATAACTCTGAAAAATGGACAGATTTTCTCTCAGATGTCCGGAAAGGTTCAGGCTCTGCGGAAGCCAGCTGACCTCTCCAGGCTTCGCCTACAAATATATCACAATACATACATTTGAAGCAAATTTGTACCAGCAGTTTTTCTTAGTTTGGACTGTCAGCCTGTTTGCTGGACAGCCATTTCTTACCGTAATGTCTTGATAGATCTTTAATAACATAATGTATTTTTTTTCTTAATTAGAATAAAATATCTCACTGACTGACACTGAAAAGAGCTGGAATCAGTTGTCAGTGCACTGCATTTTAATTTTAAACAGCTGTGACGTTCCCATCTTTACAGCGTACAAACTCAGCAAAACTCATTTTCCCCTCGTTTGAACTTCTTGATGCAGTAAAATGAAACACTCCATCTGAAGATGTGTTTGTCGTGCGAGAGGGCCGTTCAGCTGTGGGTTGTTTTTGGTAGTTTGTTTAATTATAGCATGCAAAAAATCAACATATTGGCTGTAATTGGATGGTGCTGTATTGGCTAACAATGCTGCGCAGCACTTATTGGCAGTTCCTGTGAAGATGCTGAGCAGTAAAACAGACTTTTTAACACCTGAGATTTACGTTCGCTGCAGTGAGACGACGGCAAAGGCAGGAAATGCGATCCGTACAGTAAAGCAGCCGTTCCTGGGGCTTCGACTATGGGACTTCTTTTAGTCATCAGCAGGTCAGTTAGGCTTCCTGTGAGGTGCACAATGAATCAATAGGCTAATTTTCTCTCCATGTATCAGTGACACGCACCGTTTAAAATCTGCACGGTTGTATAATGAAGTGGTCGGCTATTCTGGTCAAAATCTGTTCTTGCTCGTGTTGCTAAATCAGCATTCTGGTTGCATTTTTTAAACAATGAAGTAGCATTTTACTGGCACTGTAGAAACCTGAAGTCTGAAAGAGATGGATAAAGATCTCAGTGAGCTTTAGTTGGAGCTTGAGCTTGAATTTGAGCTTAAGTTTAAGCTTGTTTGAATTTGAGCTTAAGTTTAAGCTTGTTTGAATTTGAGCTTAAGTTTAAGCTTGAGTTTGAATTTGAGCTTGAATTTAAGCTTGAGTTTGAATTTGAGCTTAAGTTTAAGCTTGAGTTTGAATTTGAGCTTGAATTTAAGCTTGAGTTTGAATTTGAGCTTGAATTTAAGCTTGAGTTTGAATTTGAGCTTAAGTTTAAGCTTGAGTTTGAATTTGAGCTTGAATTTAAGCTTGAGTTTGAATTTGAGCTTGAATTTAAGCTTGAGTTTGAATTTGAGCTTGAATTTAAGCTTGAGTTTGAATTTGAGCTTAAGTTTAAGCTTGAGTTTGAATTTGAGCTTGAATTTAAGCTTGAGTTTGAATTTGAGCTTGAATTTAAGCTTGAGTTTGAATTTGAGCTTGAATTTAAGCTTGAGTTTGAATTTGAGCTTGAATTTAAGCTTGAGTCTGAGCTCGAAGTTCAATTTAAGTTTGAAATGAATTGAATTGAAGTTGAATTTGAATTTAGTTTTGATCTTGAGCTTTAGTTTGAGCTTGAGCTCTGTAAAATATACACTTTATTCACTGTCAGCTCTGTAATGTTTACACTTTATTCACTGTCAGCTCTGTAACGTTTACACTTTAGTCACTGTCAGCTCTGTAACATTTACACTTTATTCACTGTCAGCTCTGTAACGTTTACACTTTAGTCACTGTCAGCTCTGTAATATTTACACTTTATTCACTGTCAGCTCTGTAACGTTTACACTTTAGTCACTGTCAGCTCTGTAACATTTACACTTTATTCACTGTCAGCTCTGTAACGTTTACACTTTAGTAACTGTCAGCTCTGTAATATTTACACTTTATTCACTGTCAGCTCTGTAACGTTTACACTTTAGTCACTGTCAGCTCTGTAACATTTACACTTTATTCACTGTCAGCTCTGTAACGTTTACACTTTAGTCACTGTCAGCTCTGTAATATTTACACTTTATTCACTGTCAGCTCTGTAACGTTTACACTTTAGTCACTGTCAGCTCTGTAACGTTTACACTATTCACTGTCAACTCTGTAACGTTTACACTTTAGTCACTGTCAGCTCTGTAACGTTTACACTTTAGTCACTGTCAGCTCTGTAACATTTACACTTTATTCACTGTCAGCTCTGTAACGTTTACACTTTAGTCACTGTCAGCTCTGTAATATTTACACTTTATTCACTGTCAGCTCTGTAACGTTTACACTTTAGTCACTGTCAGCTCTGTAACATTTACACTTTATTCACTATCAGCTCTGTAACGTTTACACTTTATTCACTATCAGCTCTGTAATATTTACACTTTATTCACTATCAGCTCTGTAATGTTTACACTTTATTCACCATCAGCTCTGTAACATTTACACTTTATTCACTATCAGCTCTGTAATATTTACACTTTATTCACTATCAGCTCTGTAACATTTACACTTTATTCACTTTAGTTTGAGCTTGAATGTCAGCTTGAGTCTGAGTTTAAGTTTGAGGTTGAGCTTTAATGTAGCTGGTACAGACGTGTTTGGGTATTAGAGAGTAACTCAGAGGTACAGGAATGAGCAGTGAGATTAATGAGTAAAGTGATCTCATCATATTTAGAAAAAAAGAAGTTAGTAATTTGTAATTAATTACCTTTTTTGAGTATCTACCCTGGCACTGCTAGCTGGGCCCCTCAACCTTTTACCAGCCCCACCACACTGATATTCTGGCTGTACTGCTGGTTCGCTGGCATGATTTGAGAGTGGGAGTCCTGCTGGCATCAGCCGAGGTCTTTATTCTGCCTTTGCATCGTTTAGTCTTTGTTCTACTTTCCTCTGATCAGAAGAGCCGTAATGGACAGCATGAGGAGAAGCTTCAGCCTTCAGTCCTCCTGAGAGATGAGTGATTAATGTGCTGCCTCTGAGTGTCTGAGTGAGTGAGTGAGTGTGAGGCAGAGAGAGAGAGAGAGAGAGAGATTTAGATGTCAAAATGAAGCATGAGTTCTTCTTTCTAAGCTTCTAAAGCCAATGAGACTTTGACATATTGTGATTGCAGTACATCAAAACAACATCAGTGCATCAGCAAAGCTCGTGGGTAAAGATCACGCTGCATTATTTTAATTGAAATAATAGACTTCTGTCAGATTAGCTGAACATGTTGATTCATCAAAACACCCACAGAAAGGCGTCTGGAGCTCTGATTGGTCAGGATGATCACAGAACACTGTAGAAAGCCCTGTGACCGAACCACTGCTTTTCAAAACTCCCCCATAATCCAGTGTGTGAGATGTAATCAGAGAGATTCAGAGTGGTTTGGTGTGAAATGGTTCAGATGTCTTTACAGTGGTGGTGATAGGAACCAGGGGTCGCCATGACTACAACACAGATATAGACATTTTATTTACTATCCAGAACCACCAGAGAACCTACATTGTAGGAATATAGGAATTTAGTGTAGCTTTACATTTGAAAATAGATGGAAGATTTAGGACTGAAACTGAGAATTTAGATACCAAATTTAGACTTCAGTGCATTTTTAAATTTGACAATGGATTGAAGATTTGGGACTGAGATTCAGAGTTTAGATACTAAATTCTGAATTTATTAGATCTTTACATTTGAATATAGATTGACAATTTGGGACCAAAACTGAGAATTTAGATACCAAATTCTGAATTCAATACATCTTTGCATTTGAAAGTAGATTGAAGATTTGGGACCAAAATTCTGAATTTAGATACCAAATGTAGACTTTATTGCATCGTTTCATTTGAAAATAGGTTGAATATTTGGGACAGAGATTCAGATTCAATTTAGATAGCAAATTCTGAATTTATTGGATCTTTACATTTCAATATGTATTGAAGATTTAGGGCCAAAATTGAAAATTTAGATACTAAATTTAGACTTTAATGCATCTCTGCATTTGTAAACAGATTGAAGATTTGGGACTGAAAGTCAGAATTTATATACCAAATTTAGATTTTATTGCATCTTTGCATTTGAAAATAGATTGGAAATTGAATTGAATATAGATTGAAAATTTGGGGCCAAAACTGAGGATTTAGATACCAAAATTCTGAATTCTGTGAATCTTTACGTTTCAATATAGATTGAAAATTTGGATTGAAGCAAATTTTAGACCTGTATCATTATCGTCTGTATCATTCGGGTCGGGCAGCTCATCTTTAGTGTTTATCTTTAAAGGGGAGACACTGTGCTGGATGGGCTGCTGTACAAACGTTCGGCCACACAGTGTATATAAACTCAGGCCTAATGCGTTCTTCTCTCAGTGTATCTATTGTAAATGCTGCGTCTGACCGGCCGTGATGCCGTTCACCGTCTCTCCTTCACCCACTGAATAACTGACCTTCCTCTCCTCTTCTCTCAGCAGAGAAATGGACTGAAGCTGCCCGGCCGGAAGGACCGATGGGAGACGGCTGTTGTTAAAAGACAGAAGGAGGAGAAGGAGGAGGAGGAAGAGGAGGAGGTGACCCCTGAGCTGGACGACAGTGTATTCACTGACCTGCCGTCCAGCATGGAGCGGACGCAGGAGCGAGTGAAGGAGCGGCTGCTGAAGAAAACCTACTCGAAGAAGAACAAGCGGGTGAGTGTCTGTGATGCTGAAGTGGACACAGGTGACCTGGGCAGCTGCCCGGCGCGCTCGTTAGGAGTGTTTATTCACTGTCGCTGCAGCTGGTTTGTTTACTACTCGCTGCCCCGCCCCCGGATAGACTCCGGTGGTGTAGTCACTTACCTCACCAAGCTGTCCATACTCACTTGTATAAGTAAGCCAAGCTTTATACTTATATGTATATAGCATATTTCATACACAAGGCAACTCAGGATGCATAAAAGCACAACAGCATAAAAATAATAATAAAAGACACAAATTATTAAAGAAATATAGATGTTGAACTTAAGATAGGCTGAAGTTTGAGAATGAGATTGAATTTTGGCTTTAATTTGAGTTTGAATTTGATCTTTAATTTGATCTTGAGCTTAAGTTTGAGTTTGTGCTTGAGTTTGAACTTGACCTTTGGTTCAAGCTTAATGCTGAGCATTAGTTTGATCTTGAGCTTGAGTTTGAACTTGAGCTTGATCTTGACCTTTGGTTCAAGCTTAATGCTGAGCATTAGTTTGATCTTGAGCTTGAGTTTGAACTTGAGCTTGATCTTGAGCTTAAGTTTGAGCTTGTGCTTGAGTTTGAACTTGAGTTTGATCTCAAGCTTAAGTTTGAGCCTGAGTCTAAACTTGAGTTTGATCTTGAGCTTTGGTTCAAGCTTAATCCTGAGCATTAGTTTGAGTTTGATATTGAGTTTGTTTGATCTTGTGCTTGAGTTTGAACTTGATTTTGATCTTGAGCTTTAATTTGATCTTGAGCTTAAGTTTGACTTTGTGCTTGAGTTTGAACTGGAGTTTGAACTTGAGTTTGATATTGAGCTTTAGTTTTAGTTTAATCTTGAGCTTTAGTTTGAATTTGATATTGAGGTTTAGTTTGAGTTTGACCTCCAGCTTAAGTTTGAGCTTGAGTTTGAACTTGAGTTTGATCTTGAGCTTTGGTTCAAGCTTAATGCTGAGCTTTAGTTTAAGTTTGATGTTGAGCTTAAGTTTGATCTTGTGCTTGAGTTTGAACTTTAGTTTGATCTTGTGCTTGAGTTTGAGTTTGGTATTGAACTTTAGTTCGAGTTTGAGCTTGACCTTGAGTTTTAGTTTAAACTTGAGTTTGATCTTGAACTTAAGTTTGAGCTTGTGCTTGAGTTTGATCTTGAGCTTTGGTTCAAGCTTAATGCTCAGCATTAGTCTGAGTTTCATATTGATCTTTAGTTTGAATTTAGTTGGATCTTGAGCTTCAGTTCAAGCTTAATCCCGAGCCTTAATATTTTCTTGAGCCTTAATCTAATTGTGCGTTTGAGTTTGAGCTTCAGTTTTATTGCAAAATAAAACTTTCAAATTTTCTCATATCCTTTTTAAAATGTGACGCTAGTGACTCACTGGTGCATTTATTGTGATGCACATCCTGCATATCGTAAAAATGTCTTTAAGTATCATGATATTAAATTGTCTCCATATCGCTCACCTTTAACTTAAAGGGCTCCTATTCTATATTTTTCTTGTATTTTATTTCAATCCCTCTTTTTACATTTGTGTGTTTTTATGTCCCAAAACAGTTACAGTTCATTTCTGCATGATCATTTTCCAGCTTATCTTTGTCCCTGAAAATGACTTAGAATACTGTCCCCTTAAGACTGAGCTCTCTTTTGATTGGCTGTGCCAAAAATCAATCGAGGCTGAAACACTCCTTATAACTTCAGTGAGAGTGGGTGGAGCTAAACTTCTGCTTGCTGAATAGGTAGATGAATAAATGTTATTTTTCATGACATCCCAAAACAAAGAATTCCATATAGGGTACACCCGCTACGGTTAAATACACTCACATGAACCGCGGTATTTCGATATGACTCTTATTTTACTATAATTTCCAAAACTTGCTTATTGCGCTGCAGACTGCACACATGCTGTGCATTCAGATCCACAGAGCATCTCTGGAGCTGATTAGAATTTCCCTGGATATGCAAATACGAGCTGTAGAAGAGAGCGGGAAGTAAAAACAAATATTCTCTCAGCTCCATCATGACAATGGTGAGTGCCAGCGACCAGTGGTGGACAGTAACGAAGTAAATGTGACTCGGTACTGTACTTCAGTAGTTCTTTCGTGTATTTGTACTTTACCGAAGTTTTGGGCGACTTTTTACTTTCACTCCACTACATTTCAGAGTCAAATATCTGACTTTTTACTCCACTACATTATGAGAAATCTGTCGTTCCTTTTGGTTTATGTGTGTATAAAAACATAACGTCAAAATGAAAGAAGCGCGAAGCAAAAACACCAATCAGAGCACAGCGGTCACTTTGTGTTGAGCTTGTTTTGACCTGTTGGTCATACCGACCCAGTGCAGCACACGGTTCAACGTCAGTGCAGCAGCATAAAATTTTGGGAGAGTCTATTCAACATAAATGATGAACTAACCCAACTTTGTGTAAACAGACCACAATATAGAAATATGTACACATATGCAGTTGTGACTGACGTGTCTTTTTTCTGAATTTATACAAACACATTTCATTTTATAGTAAATTAGTTTAGGCTAGTTTATGTTTATGAACAGAGACCTACAGATGCAGTTTAGTAAAGGAAACTCATTTGTGAACCTGAGTTTAAAGTTTTTATCAAACTTAAACTTGTAAATGAATCTTAAACTGAAACTTTGCTTGTTTGTAAAAAGTGATTTCAGAGCCACTCAGTTCTGCCTGATGGAAACTGTTTGCCTTCAGTGTTTTGTGCTGATGATAATTTTAATAGACATCAGCGTCACTAATTAATGACTCTATTAAAAGACTGGTTTACCAAGAGAAACACTGGAGTATTTTCACCTAAAATGAGTTAATGAAGCGAGTCTTGTTATAAAAATGATAATAGGACATTAAAGCCATAATTAATCTTTTAGTACTTTTACTTTTGATACTTAAGTACATTTGAAGGCAAATACTTTTGTGCTTTTACTCAAGTGGAGGTCTAAAGGGAGGAACTTCTACTTTTACTGGAGTAATATTTTACCTTGGGTGTCTCTACTTTAACTCAAGTACATGTTTGTGTACTTCGTCCACCACTGCCAGCGACACAGAGAGAAGTTAAGTCCACCTCACACTGGACAAGCCGCCTCATGTCGTGCAGCGTCCAAAAATTAAAAAGCTTGTTTTCACAAACACACCAGCGCAGGAACTCCGAGTCGACGTGCCACAGTGCTCGCAACTCCGACAGCCAGGCTTTTAGGTAAACAGACAGATGCTAATGCTAAGTTACCTCAGCTAACATTAGCTAACGTGTAAACAGACAGTCTGCGTAGAGGCAGTAAGCAGATGCTGAGCGTGACGAGTGATGCTGAACACCTTATTTCATTCAGTTTATACCTGTAGAGTGTAAAAATGAACTTGAACCTGGCGGTTTAGCGGTTCTCTTTGCTGCCGTTCTATAGGATCGCTCTGCTACGTGACGCTGCGCTCTGCTGTGCGGCATGTCCGCTGTGCGGTGGTCTTTAGTGCCACCTCCCGCACACATTTCAGCTGCAAAGTAATTCCCGAACTCTATGAAACATCATGACGAGAAATCGAACATGAATTGACAGATAATGGTTCTATTTAGCTGTCCTCAGTTATTGAAAATAGAGAAGGCAAAGCACCTACAGTCTGTCGCAGCTAAAGTGGTTTTACTTTTATGTTTTTCTCCTCTTGATTTTATACAGTAGAGACAGAAACCAGGCCTGATCAGTCATTGAAACTTTATGATTGGAAAGTTTTACAACCCTATTTCCAAAAAAAGGGACGCTGTGCAAAATGTAAATAAAAACAAAATTCAATAATGTGCAAATCATGTAATCCCTATGTTTCATTGAAAATAGAACAAAGACAACAAATCAAATGTTAAAACTGAGAAATTTTATTGTTTTTTGAAAAATATATGCCCATTTTGAATTTGATGCCAACAACACGGCATTAAAAAGTTGGGACGGGGGCCTGTTTACCACTGTGTTTCATCACCTCTTCTTTAACAACACTCTGTAAGCGTTTGTGAACTGAGGAGACACTGCTGTAGTTTAGAAAGTGAAATGTTTTTCTGTTCTTGTTTGATACAGGATTTCAGCTGCTCATCAGTTCAGGGGCTCATTTATCATATCAGTTTAGCACCTGGACTCTTTTAATATGGAGCAATGCTGCTGTAATACGTGCAGAATGTGGTTTTACATCGTCTTACTGAAATAATCAAGGCCTTCCCTGAAAAAGACGTCGTCTGGATGGCAGCATATGTTGCCACAACATGTATATATCGTTCAGCATTAATGGTGCCTTCACAGATGAGCACGTCACCCATGCCATGTGCACTAATGCCCCCTATACCATCATGAATACTGGCTTTTGAACTGTGCACTGAAAACAAGCCTGAAAACAAGGATTTGCACATCATTGCATTTTGTTTTTATATTTACATTTTTCACAGCGTCCCAACTTTTTGGAAGTGGGGTTATACTTTTTTAAATATAAATATGCCAAACCTGTTACTGTGGCCCATAAACTGTGGGCCCACTGTACTGTTTCATCCCTTGTTTACACACCACATTAATCCTCTTTTAGGTCATATAAGTGAGTACAAATTAGGTTTTCTGTGCTGTTTAAGCCAAACGTGAGGACTGTCTAATAACGTCCCTGACGTCTCCTGATGGACAGGCTCGAGTTATCTGGCTAACGGAGAAATCCTGCTTTGTGGAATAAGCCCAGACCTCCTGCAGCAGCTTTAGCAGAGCCTATAAACAGAGCGTATAATAGCCGGCGTGGGCGTCCGTCAGCTTCTCACAGACGAGCTGGCAGCGTCGATATCCTCCCCGATAGAGAGAAAGAAAAGAAAAAGAGCGATTTCCACACGGCTGTAATTGCAGAGCGGAAGAAACGGCACAAAGCAGCCATCTGGATCAGCGAGAGTGTGTATGCGAGAGTGTGTATGCGAGTGTGTGTGTGTGTGTAGATTTCCTTACTAACACTGCGCTCAGGGAC